CAAAAATTGCAAATATGTCAAAAATCGCCATTTTAATGATATTACATGAAAAGATGGTACAAATGCTCCAAAATTGTGGACAAATGGGCCAAAAATATATAATTTCGGTCGATAGTAACCCCTTAACACAATTTTAAGCAAAAAAACCACTCTATTATAATTTTTGTGTTTCGTATAATATGGTCATATATGAAATACAGGAAAAATTCGAATACTTTTGTGAGGCAATTTTATGGACTTTTTTTAAAAAAAGTTAAATCAATTGAGGTAAATGTAATTCTTCCAAATTTTAAAGAGTGTGATATTATACCTTAGGACTCTCTAGACAATATAACAAATTTAAATATTCATTTCACAAACAAAAAATATTATTAAATTATGTTCTTTTCAAAGTGCTGTGCGCACACGCTGCTGCAATAACAAGCAACAAGTTTTGTTCAGCATCCAGACGCACAAATAGTGGCCATGTTTAATTTTTACAGCTCAACTGAACTGAGCACGACGACAGTGCAAACCAGAGAATGACAAAAGTAGTAATATTGCAACCAAACATGTATGTGTATGTACAGTGAATCAATTAAGTAATTTGCCTATGTAATATTTTATAAATTTTAAGAAAAAACTTTGTCTGAACAATTATTTTTAGCCAATTTAAGCAATTTGTTTGTTTTATTTTTTAAAGAATGTCTTATAATTTAATTTTCTTCCAAAAAAGTAAAATCGTGATATTAATTAACGAGATTTTTGATAAAATGTGAACGTATTGTAAATTTTTTAGGTCAATAAATTATTTTGCTTTTTTAGGTTTTTTGTTCATTTTTTTAATATTGCTGTAGGCTTACCAGACGTACTGTTTTCAGCAGTACGCGTACTTCTTTTTAGTAATTGTACTTTTAACTGCATAACGCCTAAAGAAGTACGCAATGTACTTCTTTTTAGTATTTGTACTTCTTTTCGTACTTCTTTTTTGAATTTTACCATAATTTTATAGATGTAATCATGACCATATACAAATATTCTATAGAATCGCTATTTAAGGACTTCAGAGATACATAGTTTGAAAGTGGATTTACTAAGCTCAGAAAGGCAAATTCAACTATAAGAGGTTTCGATGCATTTGTCATGCATAAAATAGTGCGTTTATTCAAAATGCTTTAAAGTTGTTAAATTTTGATTAAGATATCACTCTAATGAAAGTTTTTAATGAATTTTCGGCATAAAAAAGACTGCAAATGTGAAGGATATGTTTGAATGTTAAAATGTAATGCATAATGCTCCGTCCTGTAGGTACCTATTCGATAGCTTTATCCAGTCCCGCTGTGGAACGATGTTTAAAAAACTATACTGCCATTCTTATTTTTCGTAGCAGGGTGGCTAATTTTTCGAAAATTAGGTATCTGAGGATGTTTGAAGAATGACAAATTTGAATAACAGAGTAAAAGTTGTAACGTTTTTGTAACAGAGATAGAGAATTTTTATATTTTACTGGACATTTTTTTCCATAAAAAGATATCAAACATATGTTCACAACAAATGGTTGATATTTGAAAATGTAAACAAACCAAACGAAACTAAAATTTATGGAATTTTACACTTTTTAAAGAAAATATATAAATCAATAGCACACTAATATTAAAAATTATTTGCAATTGGATTAATTTTATTGTCATAAATTAGTTTTATATAAGTTTTTTTGTGAAAAATCATAGCAACCAATGTCAATATAGCGTTTTTAGAACAATTAAATTAAATTTTTTTGAAAATAAACAATTGTACTTTTTTATTCAATTGCACTGCTTTTTTAACTACTATGTACGTTTTTTGTTGATTTCAAATCTGGCAAGCCTGTATTGCTGTATCTATCTATATATATAAAAATGAATGTGTGTTTGTTTGTACTAGCAAAAGGGGGCGTGGTACCTCCCATATGAGTTATATATTAAAATTCGTTGATCTGGGATACTATTTAAGATAGAATCTTAATTTTTCACAAAGACCTTTAACGTCCACGTCAATATTTATGAGAAAATGGGTGGACTTTCATAAGTGGGTTTTGGTACCTCCTATACAGATCTATATGTATAAAAATGCATGTGTGCTTGTACGTTTATTTATTTTGTTTATTTGTTTATTTGGACTTTATAGACAGCTAAACGGCTGAAGCGATTTTTCTGAAATTTTCATAGTGTTTTCCTGTACGTCTGGAAGGAACTATAAGCTACATTTTACTTCAAAATTTCAGTGGGCGCGTGCCACGCCCATTTACAAAATAAGTATTAAGAGTCGCTTATCTCAGAAACTGTAAGAGCTAGAGTCCTCAAATTCTGTATGGACAACTTTAACATCCATATGAATACATGGGAATGAAATTAGCAGCCTAGCTACAGTGGGCGTGGCACCTCCCATATAAAGAAAATCTTAAATTAGTAGGTAGGATTGTCAGATTTGAAATCGGCAAAAAACGTACATCAAATCAAAAAAGCAGTACAATTGAGTAAAAAAAAGTACAAATGTTTATTTTCAAAATTTATTTAATTCAACACAAAAAAGTAAAAAAATAGTTTACAACAGTAACAATACAAAACATAAACAAGTAAGAGTGCTATATTCGGCTGTGCCGAATCTTATATACCCTTCACCATAGTGTATTTAATAAATATCAATTTCATAAAATTTACATTTATTTCATTTTCCCGACTATATCATTGTTATAGCAATAGCAAAACAAAATGAACAACAACAAAGCTAAACGAAATAACCACACAAAAAACAAAATACACAAGGCAGTAAAACCAACTGTATCCAAAATACGAAACGAAATACACAAAAAATAAAAACAAAATACACAATGCAATGAAACCAACAGACAGTCAAACATACGAAACTGAATACACCAAGAAACACACATACAGTGATAGACAATCGTTTGTACGCAACATGTTTTCTTTGATTTTTAAAGCCATTTTTGGGTTTATTGTATAAGTTTTTTTAGAAATTGGATTGAATACACCATAGTTATTAAATAATAGAAAAATATTATAAAATATCAAATAAAAATATTAGAAGCTAAATTAGGAAATATTTTATCAAAATGTCAAAATTTAGGATTATTTTGAACAAAATTTTTTAATATTTCCTAATAGATACTCATGCTGTATTAAAAATAGCATAAAACTATGAAAAAATGTTGAAAAATGGCTTCCTTAATCGATTTTACGAGAGTAATGTTACAAAAAAAAAAAAAAAAAACTAAAAATTATGACACAAAATCCCTATTCTCTTAATGAAATAAAGACAAAAATTATACTCCTTGCAGTAAAAGGATCTATTATCATTCCTTTTTCCTTGATTTATTCATTACTGTGTTAAGAACTGCTTGTAAACCAAGATTTATTAAGATTCATAGGACAGAAAAGACAAAGATTTTAATTCTCTACCTTAACCAGGCGGACTTTTAAGACACAACCAATCAAAATCATTCTTAAAATCTTAGCTGAAATAATTTATAAACAAAAAAACATTATTTTTTAGCATTTAAATAACATAACAATTTTTTTGAGCATGACCTTCGGAAATTCTTTTCGAAGCGCTTTAAAATTTGACCTATCCAAAATCTAATGAAATTTATTATGTCAGTAACAATTATGAAGGTCCTACTAAATGTTATGATAAGAAAAATACAAATTTACAAATTATTTTTATGGTTATTATAAATAATGTAACGAATGTCTCAGACAAATTTGATTCTTTTCTCTGGAATTGCTAATAGAGCATAAAATATTACAATTTTATATTATTATTTTGTAACGAAGATAGTATCAAACTACAGTGATGTTCGAGGAAATAGAGCCACCATCAGATTCAAAGTTTCTCTCCACTTAAAGTCTCTCCTACAAAGAATAGAGTTGGAAATTTGTATCGATTTCAATTTGAAAATTGTCTACAAATTGTTAAATTTTTATATTTTTGCAAACTAGCTCTATTTTTTGTCACACCATTTTGTATAGCTTAATTTAAAATTTCATTATAATTACGAATAGCGACGCGTAAATTATTGCAAAAATAATGGTATTATATTCATAACTGATCAATACAAAATTTCAGTTAGTTTTTCCAACTAAATTCTTCATTGGAGGAATTTTAAGTAAAAAGAAACTTCGAAAGATGAGGTGGCTCTATTTTTTTTAAATGGTTTTTATTATTGTAAAAATATAACAATTCATTGGAGTAACGCAAAAAAAAAAACATAACAAAAATATTAAAATTAAAAATAAAGAATTCTTAGAATAAAATCAAAAGTCGTATTTTTTTAACTTCAGTCATCTAAATCGACCAAATCAACTGGGGGATGTGTCAATCTTGCTGATTTTGTTATGTACTTGTCTAACGATTGTTGGATTGTAACGCTTTTTTTTTCAAATAAATTTCTTTATAACAATTTATAACTTCGGTCACATTTCTAGACACTTTTAAACTGCGGTCTGCGTTTTCAAAAATGTCCATTGCTTGTGATAACAGCTGCATCGCTTCAGAAATTTTAGCAGCAGTAAGCTTTTTTTCTTCTGCTTCGACCTGAAGCGGAAGTATTTGATTGTCCAGCGTATTGTTACGTTGAATTGTAGTCAAACTTTGGTTACAATTTAACTCTGGGTCGTATAATAGGAGATCATTAATATCTTGTTCTTCCATTCCATAAAAATTTGCATTTCTAGCTGATTCTGCAAGTTCTTTACATGTGTGTGGAACATCATTAATATCTTCCATATCTTTGAGAACACATTCGGGCCATAATTGACGCCAAGTTCCGTTCATGCACGATTCTTTTACTTCTTTCCAAGATAGGTTTATATTTTCAATAGCCATCAGGATATTGTAATTCTTCCAAAACTCTTTCATGGATGGCATGTTATCTACGTCAGTTGGTTTTAGAAGTTGATGAAATGTTCGACGCAGATAGTATGACTTGAAGTTGGATATAACATCTTGATCCATTGGTTGTATCACAGATGTTGTATTTGGGGCATAAAAATAACATTAATATTTTCCGAATAATCGTCTGAAAAAACAGGATGACCTGGTGCATTGTCAACTAACAAGAGCATTTTAAACTCAATATTTTTTGAAGAACAATAAGCCTTTAGCTCGGGAGCAGCACAATTGTTCATCCAATCTCTAAATAAGGATGCGGTCATCCATGCTATTTTATTTGCACGCCTATGAACAGAAAGCTCGCTCCTTTTAACATTTTTAAAAGCTCTCGGGTTTTCAGAGTGGTAAATTAAAAATGGCTTAAATTTAAAATCTCCCGCTGCATTTCCTCCCAAAAGAAGTGTAAGTCTATCTTTGCTAGATTTATAACCTGGCGAAGATTTTTCGGATTTAGAAATGTACGTTCTTCCTGGCAAACGTTTCCAAAAAAGTCCCGTTTCATCAGCGTTTAAAACTTGTTGTGCAGAATACCCACCTTCTTCAATAATTGCTTTTAATTCAAGTTTGAACTTTTCTGCAGCTGAAGTATCAGCACTAGCAGATTCTCCTTTTAATGCAATGCTATGCAAATTTCCACGGATTTTAAAACGGTCAAACCAATCTCTGCTTGCATCAAATTCTTCCGCACTTTCGGAACTTGATAATGGATAATCTTCTTTCAGATCTTCAAATAAAGTTAGTGCTTTCTTTTGAATTACCATTTGACTTAATGGCATTCTTCGCTGATTTTGATCTTCAATCCAAATGTTAAGAAGTGACTCCATTTTTTCCATTAAAGAACTTCTCATTTTGGTAACCTGTTTATGTTGTAACGTTGATGCGGTTTCAGCAAATTTTTTAATTTTATCAGCGACTCTGGAACAAATGGATTTTATTGTAGAAGGGGCTAGTCCAAGGTTTCTTCCAATATCAACAGCCCTTTCTCCTAATTTAAAACGTTTTAAAATGTCAAGCTTTTGTTCTAAGCATAATTGCTTTCTTTTTTGACTCATTGCTGCAAAATATTTAGATCAACTTCACTTCAGCAAATGTAATTTGTAACTACTAACGACCTACAACTTGCTACCATCAGACAACATAAATACATATCTATGTATGTATTAACATTAGACTTAAACGGGAATTCCCCTTTTTCTGTTTGAGCTTTGTACAAACATATTCATATTAACGACGCAAACTGAAACATAAACGACGCAACTTCGAAGTCACAGAAATTTTAAAAGGACACAACTTCGAATTTGCACTAGATTTAAACGGGAAAAGGGGATTTTCTGTTTTAGCTTTGTATAAACATTTTTGTATTAACGACGCAAATCGAAGCACTAACGACGCAACTTCAAAACATGTGACGCAAACTGAAACAAAAACGACGCAACTTCGACGTCACAGAAATTTTAAAAAGACGCAACTTCGAAGCAGACGCAGAACAAGGCGAGCAAACCGGGGTATTAGTGTACAAGGAAAATGTCAACGGTTAAAATAACAAAGTTGTATTGTATATGATTGATAAATTGGTATGGTAGAAATTGAAACAGGGCGTTTAATAAAATGTTTTATTTTTGTATGGACATGTTTACCTCTATAAAATTATGTTGAAAGTACAAAAAAAGGTAGAAAAAAAGTACAAAAAGAAGTACAACTCAAAAAAAGTACATTTGCGTACATTATGCAGTTAAAAGTACAAAAACTTAAAAAGTACGCGTACTGATGAAAACAGTACGTCTGGCAAGCCTATGTTTAGGACAAAAATGGAGTGGAAGAACTCTGACATTCAATAGGGGCTTGGCACCTTTCATATAAATTAAATGCAAAAATTCGTATATATAATTTAGAGCTGCTGAGAATATTCGTATTGCATGTGTATAAGTGAGAATAATACAATGCCCGCAGGGGCATGTTTGGCCATCATTGCTTTAGAATAGGAAATAATTACATATAAAGAAAAATTTTAATTGTAAATATGAAGTCAATTATATTTTAGTAATTTTGTAATATTTTGTAAATTTATGCTAATGAAAAGGAATATGAAATAATATACATAAATTTCAATTTATCAATAAAATACTTTAAATATCAAACTTTCTTTGTCTTATTACCTTATGGTTTTGGATAGTGATAAACAAATATTATTAAAATTTTCCTAAACAAAAAATGTATTTCAATATATTTTGAATATTTTTTATTTTATATCGACAGGAGTAGCAAAGCACGCCGGGTTTTAGTTAGTATGTTTAAAATAAGTATTTCTAGTCTAATATTATACATTTTGTTGGCAATTGTAATTGATTAGATCCATAATATGATTGTTGTTTTTGTAGAATTGACTTCACCTTATTATTCCATCATGCGTGAACAGTTATGAAATTTTATATCAGAAACATTAAAGGAACGTAAATCTTCCTACCGAATTTCATGCGGAAAGTGTTGGGAAGTGATATTCGATTAAAGATGTTTTGTTTGAACCAAAATTGGTCTAAACAAATTTTATGAAAAACGGTCAAAACCATATCTCTCATATAAGGTCCTCTTCAGTTAATTTGATGAGTAATATCACCCTGATGTTTATAAGGGAGCATTCCTTTTAAGACATATGGTTTGATGGTGTGTATATGAGATTCAGCACAGCCGAATATATCGCACACCCAGTACAAAAGTGACATAACTCAACATTTTTTTTAAGAAAAGGAAACAAATTTTTTACAAATTCTGAAAGATAAAGAAAGACATAACGTTTTTTCTTGAACAGTTAACAACAACAAAATACACTAATATTTTTGTAGAGTTAAACAAGTACCTTGTGTATAGTTAAAGGCTTAAAGAATATAAAAACGCAAAAATAAAATTTTGAGTTGTGTCACTTTTGTACTAGGTGTGCGATATCACTCTCACTTGTTTTTTACTTATTTTCCTTGTAATTTTTGATTAATTGAAATTAATCCAGTAATTTGAGTACAAATTTGTAATCTTTAAAATTAGAATTTTTAGATTTTATTTTAAATGAAACCATAATTAGTTTTCGCTTTCAACCTAAAATTACCGAAGAAGCTATATATGAGAAAAAATAGGTTAAAAATCAACTTATTGTTGGCTTAAAGAAGGGTCGAGCCTACAATAAAATTCTTATAAGTGTTTGTCAATGGTTTATTGAAGGTGTTTTAAGCTAGGTATTTGACGTTTATGAATTCGATTTACCCGAATTTTGCCTAAAATTGTTTAATAAACCAAAAATATTTTTTGATAAATACAGCCGTATATGTGTACTTTTGGAAATCTACCCAGCTAGCATTTGGAAGTTTGTTGGATGGTTAATCAGTAAACTGATTCATTTCTGACTCCTTTTGATGACCTAAACGTGATTAATAAGTTGAGCGCTTAAAAAATGATTCGAAAATGATACCGATATATGATTGAAAACTGATTATTTGAAAAACAATAACAAAATGTATAGCAATCATTAATTGATCATCCTGGTGTTTAAAATATGATGGTTTTAAAAACTTATTTTGTGATCATATTTCGAGCAGTTGAAAGATCAAAAATTGTTTCTTGTGTAATTGTTTTTGTTTGCAATGGAATAGCAACACTTACACTTAAAAATTACTCATAAACGATTCAAAAAAGAGTCGAAACTGATAAGAAAATGGGCTCAGAAAATGGGCTCAGAAAATGGGCTTAGAAGAGTTGGCCAAAAAGTTTGTGTGGCCTAAAATAAGTTGATATAATTCTCATTTCGTTCATAAAACTAAATGTATAAGTATTTCAATTTGTGTAATATTTATGAAGTCGTTTTTCTGTCAAGGAAATTTAAATTATATTATGCTTTAATTATAATAATTTTATATGTTTAATTATCTTCTACGGAAGATAGTTGGATGACTAAACACTAAACTAAGTCTTAATAATTCCAATTAATGTTTAAAATCTGATTTATTTGAAAAACAATAACAAAATGTATAGTAATCATAAATAGGTCATCCAGGTGTTTGAAATATGATTGTTTATAAATTTAGTTTGTAGTTGGAAGATCAAAAACTGTTTTCTGTTGTATTGTATTTGTTTGCAGCAAACATAAAAATTACTCAGAAAAAACTCAAAAATGACTATAATATGATTCGGAAAACGACCAGTTATTTGATGACTCAAAAAAGATTAAAAAATGAGTCATAATTGATCAGAAGTAGGGCTCATAAATGACTCATTTAGAAGAGTCGCGGGTAGGGTACCATTTTCTCCCGACGAATGTATCATTTATAATCAGAAAATGAGCGCATATATGATCATTTTAATCGTGCAGAAGAGTCATAAATGATTCGAATGTGATCAAAAATTTCAAAAAATGCTAGCTGGGGTAAACACATATAAGAAACTATAAATATAACATATATTTTATACCTAATTTAATTTATATTATCTATATATATAAAAATGAATGTGTGTTTGTTTGTGTGTGTTTGTTTGTATGTTTGTTTGTTTGAACGTTATAGACTACTAAACGGCAGAACCGTTTAGTAGTCTAGAATCTTAAAAATTTAACTTGAAGGATCCTGACATTCATCTGAACATTTAGAGTATAACGGGCGGACTTTCAGTGGGGAACTTGGCACCTCCTATATGAATTAAATATAAAATTTCGTTTATCTGGGGAACTAATAGAACTTGATTCTTAAAATTTTGCACGAATTACTTTAATATTCATCTGAACATTTTGAAGGAAAAAGTGCGGACTTTCATCTGGGGAGCTTGAAGCCCCCACATGAATCAAATAGAAAAATTCTTATATCGTATATCTTCTAATTTTACATCAAGAACTTTGACATTCATGTGAACATTTAGAGCATAACGGGAGGACTTGCAATGGGTGGCTTGGCACAACATATATGAATTAAATACAATATTTCGGGTATCTTGGAAACTCTTATATTATTCAAATTTTTCATAAGTAGATTGAAATTGGTGATAGAAACTTGCGAACTTGCAATAATTTGCTTAACATCTCTCATATGTAACATATTATACATCTGAAATACTATTGTAGTTAGAATCTTCAAAATCGTTAAGTGGGTTTTTTATTTATATATATATTTGCTTTTAGGGTAGCAAAGCACACTGGGTATAGCTAGTAAATGTGTAAATATTATATATTTATACTATTTATTTTTGTAAAACACTAAAATAAAACAAGTAAGAGTGCTATATTCGGCTGTGCCGAATCTTATATACCCTTCACCATAGTGTATTTAATAAATTTCATAAAATTTACATTTATTTCATTTTCCCGACTATGTCATTATTATAGCAATAGCAAAACTTCTTATATACCCTTCACCATAGTGTATTTAATAAATTTCATAAAATTTACATTTATTTCATTTTCCCGACTATGTCATTATTATAGCAATAGCAAAACAAAATAAACAACAACAACGCTAAAAAAATAACCACACAAAAAACAAAATACACAAGGCAGTAAAACCAACAAAATACACAATGCAATGAAACCAACAGACAGTCAAACATACGAAACTGAATATACCAAGAAACAAAAGCAATATACATGAGTCTCGTGTCACGAGACAATGAAACATGCGAAACGAAATACTCAAAAAAAAAAAAAACAAAATACACAACGCAATGAAACCAACAGACATCCAAACCAGAGAAACAAGCCGACCGACTCAAAATCAGCCGCCGAAACATTTATTAGTCACTAAAAACAGTATTTTGATTCAAAAATTTTATATTTTTAACCTATTATGGGTTCCTGCTGATGCTCATAAAGCATATAAAC